CTCCGTACTGCATCAGTCACGGAGGTGGCCGTCGGTGCGAAGTTCTGGAGTGCACGAAGAGTGCTGTGGGCAGCAGCGAACGCTGCAAAGCTCACGGCGGAGGGAGAAGATGCACCGTGGATGGCTGTACCACCGCTGCCCGCCCAGGCCCTTGCAGCTGTGCCAAAAGCATGGTGGCAAGGAGCCCAGGCGAGCAAGTGGGAAAGGTAAGTCTGGACTAGCCATCCAATCTCAAGGTATGGTTGATGGGAGATGGGCGCTTTATTCTGATTTTGATGGATCGGTTCACTTCTCGCAAGAGAAGGAAGAACCTGATATGACTGCTCTTCCTCCTCAGGTGTGTACTCTGACGCTGGCGGTCCAAGATGAAAAGGGGGACATGAACATATGGAAGGTGGAGAAGGCCGAAGAGAAAGCAGTTTTGGATGCGCTCGGTGACGATTTTGTTTTACTTGATATCCCTGTTTAGGTACAATCCAAAGGATGATGGTCACTGACCATTGGTCGGATCTCGACCATCATCCTTCGAAGATCGAAGATATGATGATTATATAATTGTTCCAATATTGAGTACGATTCATTATATGTCAACATACTTGGTGCGTTGTGTTATGCAAGTCATGGTACAAGGTTGACTACTCCGGGCGCAGGAGTTTCACACCTCGCGAGGTGTCTCAGTATGATACTCGTGCTGTAGAATCCGTCTAGGTGCTCTCCAAGCGCCAATGCAAGGCTCGCTCACCTAGCTCTGTACAAGGCAGCAGTCCAAGGCGGGCGAGAAGCGAGTGGATTTGAAGCTGTTGTGCAGTATCTCAGCTATCCCCGATAACTCGATGAAGGTTGGCAGTGTCAACCTTCATCGCGTCAACTTGGCACTCAGCAGCACAAATAGCATTGAATGCTCTGAGCGCATTGCTATTGACGATGGGTTCGTTTTACTCGATCGTCTTACTGAGGTACACACAGAGAAGGCTGATGGGCGGACCTCGCTCATGCACAGGTCCATGCATGGTACAATGTTCCTGGAGGCTTTGTGCACCTCAACCCTTGTGTCGATTGTCCCCAACAAGTTGCGCTGTGCGATCGATGTGTGATCGATTTTATAGCTTTAGCTATGCTCGGCTGTCACGGGCCGAGTGGTGCTGTCGGCCTGAACTGAACTCGTTTACTATCCATGTTGAGGTGTTGAGTGCTCCTCGTGGCTGTTTGACGAGTTATAGAGTATCCGCGGCTCGACTACTGCCGCGATCTCCTCATCAGTCAGCGGCCTCAGGGGCGATCCTCGGTACATATTATTGAGCAGCAGAAACTAGCAGTGGCGACTCTTAACGATAGAAAGTCACTTCCTGAATTCTGCGATAACGATCTTAGCTGTTTGAACCAAAGGCGGTTTTATCATCTGCTGTTGGTATAGAAGCTAAGGACAATCTGTCTTCTATTAACTTGTCTATGGTCATCTGAGAGCTTCAAAATAGTAGTAGTTAATTGACAGTCAATTACTCACAGAGGTGCTCAGTAGCCCCCCTGCCACACTGTAGAATATACCGACGTAGTTGTTGCTTCTCATTTGTGTATGCCACCACGTGTTGATGGCCATTCTCATGGAATTGTTGGTGCCAATACAAGTATTCAACTCGACAGAGATTTCAAAGCACTGGCACACGACATAGAGAGGCTCCTGGGTCAATGGAAACCGAGAACGACTCATGAACGACATGGAAAGGTATTGTTGGTACGAAATTCAACCTCTTCCGTATCTTACCAATCTGAACCTAAGATTCTCTTTAGAGGTTCTAGGTTCGCGCGAGTTTGTGGCTACAACGATTACGGACGTCTCAGTGTGGACGACAAGTACCTTTGCAACGGACGCGGAACGATTATGCTTTACTACTTAAGCAAGGTTGTGTGACTGGTATGCAGAAATTATATTTTCTCAGCAATTCTGGTCGGATTCCAATACAGGTAACTTTTTGACGCCTCTCGATAAGGCCCCTTCAAACGAGGATCTCGCTCCCTTGCAACGACATGTCGTATGGTCGTTGAAAAGGTGGGAGAAGGTACCGTAGTGCTGACCGCTCACCCCGTGAACTCTTTTAATTAATTGTAGTCGTACCAGTGGCATAAAGTATTCCGCCAGTAATTTGATCACCAAAGTTTAGTGTAAAGTTCCTCTATTTAAAGGTTATTTTTAGGGATACTTACATATTTTTTGTTGATAACATTATAGACATTTTCGGTTAACAGAAATATGGCAATTTCTAATATAATATTATAGTATCGATGCCACTATAAATATAATAATACTCCACTAGGCCTTCTCGGAGAAAGGGCGGAGCTCGGCATCCGGGTTCGATTCCCATGCCTGGCGTTTTTCTGCAAAAATATGTTTTTTGCACGGAAATCTACATGGTCCGGGCGGAACCCTAATTTCGTATTTTTTCTAGTATCCCCAGAGCGAGAGCTATCGAATGGTGTATAGCATGTGATCATAACCTCTCTAGATCGAGCTGGATAATTTGTTCGCACGCACGCACGCACGCACAAAGTGTTAGTAAAG